CTCGCCGGGGCTCGAACTTGTACCTATCGAATACGCGCCCAGTGTGCTTACCGTTACACTACGAAGGCATGCAGAAAGGAGAGAGAAAATACCTCTTTTTAAAGGGCGATTGAGGATTAGAGAACCCAATCACCAAATCCTGGTGGTAAAGAATCATCATCCACCGTCTTTCTTAGTTCCGGCGTTACTGCAAAATCATTATTCTTTCTTTTTTTTTTTTTTTTTTTTTTTTTTAAAGCAGGAGATAATGAAAAATGAGCAGTGCCCTCGCCGGAGTTCGAACCTGGACCTCTCGATACGCGCCGAGTGTGCTACCGTTACACCACAAAGGCAAGCAGAAGGGAGGGAGAAAGCACCTTATAAGTTTAATATATATAGTATATATATATCTACAATGAGTTGTGACGCACAGAAAATCAGTTTTCATATAGGGACCTATCTTCCTCAATAAAACCATAAATAATTTAATAAAATTTCATAAGATATTGAATAAAACCTTTAAAATGTGGTATGGATAATTAAGACACAATAACACTCCGAATAAATACTAATTCAGAAGTCAAACAACAAAAATCAGCGTTATATTTACAAAATTTTCACAGGACTAGTTTCGATGGTTTTACCGAACCACCATCCTCAGCTGCAAAACCGCAAATGAACAAGATAGGAAATAATGATTAGATAAGATAAGAAAGCCTGGACAAGAATAAGCAAGTGGCGCCATCTGTTGGTGAAACCAGAACTAAAACATAATTTCTTTAAAGGCCGAAGGCAAATTTGGATTGGAATTAGGATCGTTAACTAGAACAGAAAGATTTTTATGAATATGAAATGCCTCTAGAAAATCCAGTTCTCCAATGGAAGATGTTTTTTGAATAATTTTGGCAGCAGAAAAATTGAAAGTGTGGTTTTCGGACCAACAATGTTAAAAAATTCTCATCTCAACACACTAAAAGGCACACTCTTGTTTTAGGAGATTATAAAAATTCTGTTGTTATTCCCTTCTTTCCATCAATTAGCTATAAAGTTGCACATATTTTGCAGAAATTTAATTTTCGGGTTGTTTTTTCTCCAATCAATAAAATTCCGAGTTCCATACTCAAGGATCCCATTCCGGACATGAATTCCTGGGTTATTTATAGGATTCCTTACCAGTGCGGTTTAATTTACATTGGCCAAACTAAGAGAGCCTTAAAATTTCGCGTCAAGGAACATGAGGCATATGTTAGAAAAAAGGAAACACAGAAGTCTTCTGTTGCTCAACATTGTTGGTCCGAAAATCACACTTTCAATTTTCTGCTGCCAAAATTATTCAAAAAACATCTTCCATTGGAGAACTGGATTTTCTAGAGGCATTTCATATTCATAAAAATCTTTCTGTTCTAGTTAACGATCCTAATTCCAATCCATCTTTGCCTTCGGCCTTTAAAGAAATTATGTTTTAGTTCTGGTTTCACCAACAGATGGCGCCACTTGTTTATGCTTGTCCAGGCTTTCTTATCTTATCTAATCATTATTTCCTATCTTGTTCATTTGCGGTTTTGCAACTGAAGATGGTGGTTCGGTAAAACCATCGAAACTAGTCCTGTGAAAATTTTGTAAATATAACGCTGATTTTTGTTGTTTGACTTCTGAATGTGGTATGGATGTAAGCTACGGTAAGTTACGTGTGGCAGTTTAATGGAAGGATGTGACAAAAACCGGTTTGCGTTAAATAAAATATTACTAGTAGCGGCTAATTTTAATAATGGTTAAATATAAAAGACTGATATGAACTGTTCATAAAAATAATAATAATAACAACAATATTAGTTCATATGTATTGTCAGATGGAAACAAATGATGCAATAAATTTAAAATTCACACTAAATGAAAGCTTGAGTGAACTACAAAGATCTGCAACAACGACGCATTTAATATTTAAGTACATGCAGAGCAGTGTAAAGTATAATTTCCAAAATAATGTAAGTAAATCTATAAAGTATTTCTCCCCTTTTCTTAGCATGCCTTCGTGGTGTAATGGTCAGCACACTCGGCGCGTATTCGAGAGGTCTGTGGTTCGAGTTCCGTCGAGGGCATTGCTCATTTTTTATGTCTCCGGAATTCAAATAACCTAACGTCTTTACTAATTATAACTATGAAAAGTAAAACTTTAAAAACACATAATCATGTGTACCCTTTATACGAACATATGTAGGTCTATGTTTTTAGATAGGCATTGCGACGTCGCTGCTTTACGTATTTTTGAAGAATAACTCATCAGTACTCTATCTGATCATCAACATTAAAATCGTAATATTTTTTGTATCAGCTCCTCGTCTCTCCGGTTCTGTTTTCACATGCATTTTGGGATTAGATTATTAGGCACACACTTGTATTTTGATATTTTCAAGTATTCTAAATGAAAGACGCGAATGGAAAATAAAATTGTTGAACAAATTTTGAACAAATTATTTAATAGATAGCAACAGAAACATGTTCCTTTTAATTACAGTAATGTTGCAAGAGTTCATGGGTATTGTCAATTAGATGGATCACAAATTAAATATATTTAAAATTTTATCAATTAGATATTTTTTTGAAATGACATTATATGCAAAAACGGACTTTATTTCTTTCAAATCGCTGAGCTTGGTAACGAAAAACAGATTCATTAAATTTAAATACAAATTAATAACTATATGTTTTACTTAATGAGAACACACTTGGTAATGAGCAAGATCACGTGGAATGTGCATTAAAGACCTTATGTTTCGCTCAGTGGAACAATTCAATAACGCGTGGGGGATATATGGTAACAAAATGTGATTTAATGGACAGTTTATATAGATGACGTAACTTGAGCTTTCTCAAGATTAAAAAAGGCCGCCGTGTATGTACAGGATTTATGACTCATTACTAACATTCGGTTCCCTTTGGAATCTCAAAGAAATTTTTTCAGAAAAGGATTTGATAAGCTGGAGAATTGGAATTCGATAGATAATTTATGAATCACAAAACTATTGCTCGCTATAACCGGGGTTTATTCGTTAAAAGCGAGCTATCCTCCCATAGAATTCACATTGTACCAACCAAGAATTTTCCATTCCCTTTTTAAATCCTGATTCTCGTTAAATCAGGGCTCCTTAGAAACGAGTTGTAGTGCATTTTTAAGTTTTTATTAAGTTCCGTTATCTGTTAAATTTTTAATTAAAATTTTTTTTATATTATGCATTATATCTCTATTCATTACATCTAAATTTAATACATTAATATTATTTACATATTTCTGAAAGAGATAGGAATGCTTACATAAGTAAACATTGCGTTACATATGTACTTTAATGCATATCGGAAAGTTTCGACCTATAATTTTACTCATTTCGGATTATAATGCGCGTTACTCTAAGTTTATTTATAATCAACTTAACAAATTTCCTATAGTTTTGAGTTATTTACATCAAAATTAAAAACTAACTGGTGTTGTTTAATTAAGCATTTTGATTAACGTTTAGAAGTATGTAATATTATAAATTTTAATTCTGGCAAGCCTCTATTAACTGAGAATTGAACAGAATAAAAGTTTTACCTTTAATTCTGTCATAAAAATTTTACCTTTAATTCCGAAAACTGTATTTTAATACACACAGTATTATTTCTCCCAGAACAATCAAAGGGAAAGTAAGAAAGAAAGATGGTATTTCAGGAATATGGGTATTTACTGTTTCAAAGATTGGAATCGGAATGAATAAAGGAAAACTTATGACTTTCTAAATAACAATGAAAAAAAAAAAGAAGAAACAACTTAAGTGTTACATATTTATTAAAAGTTGAATTTATTTTATTTTGAAGACTAATAAGAATGGTTTTCTATTCCATTTGGCTAGAAGCAGAAAAAAAGAAAATGGGTTACTTTTTATAACCACTTATTTTTATTAAAATTATTAGAAATCTTCTGTGCTTATCAAAGATATGTCATGTCGTGAGGGTTCTTTTCAGAATAATCCTGAAATAAAAAAAAATATGAATGCCATTCATACAACGTGATGTTAAAGAATAACCTATGCGGAAAAAAAAAGTCTTCTTCATCCCAAAAACCAATTGCTTAATGGAAGGGATGAAATGGTACTGTGACGGATTAAGAAGAGGTTTTATACCTTAAAATACCAAACGCTATCTTCAAGGAAAATAACTTTTACAAATGTACTTTATAAAATGATACATTGAAAAGAGAAAAATTTGAATTAATTATTTTAATTCACTATATGGTTTCGGATTCAAATATCCAAAAACATATTACTTTAAATTAATCTGAATTCTATAAAAATTTTCAAAAATGGTGGGGAACAAATAAATGTACTGCATGCAAGAAGACATGTGCAGTTACAATATATCTAGTTTAAGAGCTCATGCGTATTTTGTAGACAAAGATTCGAATTATTTATGCATTTTATTAAAATTTGATATCTTACAAACATTTTGAAACAAAGTCTCGTGGAAAACATTTCCTATAGAACCAAAGATGTGGGGGGGGAGAAATACAAATAAAAACTTTGCATTTAAAGTCTGTTATTCTTACAATTGTATTTTATTAAATTCGTAGCATTAAATTCATTGAACTGCACATGAAATCTTTCTGCACGCAATTATTTACAAATATATTAAAAATTTCGCTTATTAGTACACCTGTCTGTATATTTATTAATTTTCAGAAAATATAATGTTTTCAAGATTTAAGGTGATTTCATTTTTCAAATAAGATTTTATGAAAATGTGATTTTCCTAGTTGCTTACTTAATTTCATTGAAGTGCCTGAACATCTTAAAATTTTGACTATGTATGTAAACACTGAATATGTATAAAATGATCAATTATTGTACTTCTGAGAAAATTCAGTGCTAAATAATTTAATTTGAAATAAAATAAAAAATCGACTCGTCACTTTCATTAATTAAAATCATTGTGTTTAGATTTGCAATAAACTTATAAATTATAAGGTATTTCTCCCGCCTTCTTAGCATGCCACCGTGGTGTAGTGGTCAGCACGCTCGACGAGAATTCGGGAGGTCCATGGTTCGAGTCCAAGCGAGGGCAGTGCTCATTTCTTCAATTTCCTGTATTCAAAAATCGTAATGTCTCTAAAATGGCACTCGAACTAAAAATGGTGGTGGATGATGATTCTCCGCCACCAGGATTTGGCGACTGGGTACCCTAATTCCCAGTCTCCCTTTGAAAGGGGGAATATATGAGGTATTTCTCTAACATTCCTAGCATGCCTTCGTGGTGTAGTGATCAGCACGCTCGACGCGTATTCGAGAGGCCCGTGGTTCGTGTTCCATCGAAAGCGTTGCTCATTTCTTCATCGCTGCTGTTACGAAATAACCTAATGTCACTACAAAATAAATTTACATTATTAATTGTATTAAGAAAATAATATGGAGTGTAAAGGCTTTTTAAGGCCTTTTTATGTTTCTCAAAATTAAAATTTTCCTACTTCCGTTCGTGTTTGCTCTTAAACCAGTGGCCAGTGGACAGATCTTGAAGAAAATTTAATTAATTTGTAGGAAGCCAATGTGAGTATAAAACTACTAAATATTCCGAATTTTCGTAAGCAGCTTAGAAAGTATCTTTAAATTTACGTTAAAAAATTGTCAAATTGGGGTCTCGTAAACAAAAATTGCATATTTTAGGTGATTATTTTTTAAATTAGGTCATTTTAATTAAGCATTACTTTCCTAGCATGGAAAAAAAACTTAGCGATATTCATTCATAATACTGTGTGCAGTAAGTGTAAATACAATTTTATGTTAATAGCGAACAAAATAAAACATTTTAATTAGTAAAAGTAAAGTAAAAGAGCAAATTCAATAACAAAGACTACTGTGTCAACGTACAAAATTTCATGATTATAGAAAAGTTAGCTATAAAAATACTGAGTAATAAAATGTGTTATATTTTTGGAAAGGTTTGACAATTTGGAGGTATATTACACCTTAAATAAAAAAAAGCGAAATAAATGGAAACAATCAGTTATAATTTCATGACATTTATTTATAGGAATTATACTTTAGTTTTCAAATAGCGAGGGAGCAAATTTAATGTTTCAGATCGTGGGAAGATGAAACAAGTTAAGGACCAAGGTTAATAATATTTTCAATGATCTGAATATTTGAATTTTTACCTTAATAATATTCCTAGAGTAATATGCCAAAAGTAATTCTTAATTAAACTAATTGTTAATTTTATTACCTAAATGCTTTACAACGTAAAATAGATATTTTCTTTGTCTTGTAGACCTTTCTTATAATTTGGTAGAAATCTTTAAAAATTGCGTTATTACTTCCTTGTACGAAGTAACAAATCGCAAAAATTTCGGGTATAATATTTCAACGAAAATATCCACTTCAACCGCTTTTGAAAGAGCTTGAATATGTTTTTGTGTGACATCTGTACTTACGGGCAGAATGAAGGCCTCAAAACGGATGGTGAAATGGGTTTAAGGGGTTATCAGCAGCCCCTATACAAACAATGTTAAATTGGCCATTTCAGATGTATCTTTTCTCAAAATTTTCTGTAGATACACGCTTGAAAGTTTTTGGGTAATTAAAGTATTATACTGAAATTAGCTTTTGAAACATTTTGAGTTTTAGAGTAAATTACAGAATATTTTGTTTGTTAGTAAAATTTATCACTTTTCTCACACAATTTTTTAAAATTTTTTTTTGTTCTTAGTTTATCAAAAAAAGCTCATTTCAGTAAATATTAGGAATTCTAATAAATAAGCCATAAAAATTTTAGATATTTGTGACCAGTAGTTCCTGAGAAAAGGTAGATCGAGAATTTAAAAAAATCACGTTTGGGAAAAAATTTTTATGTAAAAGTTCCTAATTTATTAAAGAACTCGATGAAAAATTAAAACCAAATTTTTTATAGTTCTAATTTTCATAGAGATTAAAGAAAGCTATTTTTAGAAAGTTAAAAGTATTTGAAATAAAGAGAAGTAAAGAGAGTAGGAGAATTTGAAAATAAAAAAATTCGAAATCACCATTTTTTGAGTTCCAACATCCCTTAAAATGGATCAAGAAGAGATATTTTCCCGGGCATTTGCACTTAAGTACGTATTTATGTCCTATAAGTCAAAAAAAGAATATCCTTAGAAAGTGAAATTTTGTACATGGAACAGCTATAATATGTAGTTGTGCACCTCAACCAAACTTGATTTCAATCGCCCTCAACCAAACTTATATAAATTTTTATCTATTTATCTATCTATATATATATAGAGAGAGAGATAGATAGATAGATAGATAGATGGATAATTTTGATGCATATTCGTGCTGGCAGAGTGGCAAGAAGAGACGAAGCTGACGAAACTAGCTTCCGACAAATCACCCATCTTTATTTTCACACATATCCAATTAATACGGCAAATACTATAAAATTAATATGTTATAAATTTAGAAATATATTATTAATTTGACAGACACTTTAAAATTATTATAGATAATTAAATAGGATAATTTTCTATGCACATTGGTTTATTAAAAGAAATGACGTAGGCAGTTGAGAAGCAAAGCGGAGGGAGGATGACAGAGTAGCACTTAAAGGAAAGGAATGGAATGACCTAGTTTATTTTGCAAGCAATATTTATACTAAGTACGTACACAAAGTACTCTATATTATGATAATATAGAGCTGTGATTTGTTAATTTTAGGTTGTTATATAATCATGTAAGGATCTCAAATTAGGGAGAACAGAAGAATTTAGGGCGAGAGCACCAAATCTAGAATCGGTAAATTCGCCAATTATTTTTAGAGCAGTTATCGTATTTTCCAATATCTTACATACACACACACACACACACACACACACACACACATATATATATATATATATATGTACCCACTCTGTTACCCGGCTTGTCGAGATCAATCTTGGTAAATTTGTGTATTTAAATCTTAAATCTTCGTAAAAAGTGATTGAATTATGTAGTTTTTATGGTTCGGTTAAGGATTTTATGGCTTTATTTAATCTGCATGCAATAGTTGCAGAATTGTCAGCAATATAAAAGCTTAAGTGCTGTCTTTATCCTAATGAACCACTATCTGTTTACATTTGAAACTCAGTAGAATAATGAATTAAGTCAGTTTCTGCACCTTCAATGCCTTTTTTGCCGAGTGTTAAAGTTTTAGTTTTGTGCACCACAAATTCTGCCTTCTTGCCCAATCGCCAAATTGCTTGTTTTTGCCTGGGAACTCTAAGAAAATATTTTAACTCTGGTGTTTTATGCTTTTCTGTATTTTACAATTTTTAAGGTGCTTTGATTTTTTTATCTATTTTTGCTTTGCCGCGAAGAGAGAACTGAATGACTTGACTCAGAAATGTATTTCTAAACACATATTAATGCCTTTTTAAGACCTGAAATTGTAAGTATTTTATTAAGTTATTAGTATTTTGCAGTTATACAAATTTAATATTTTTTAGTTTTTTGTAATTTTTTTTAAATTATTATATTTTCAAGTTAAGATTTGAAGCGTAATCTAATCTATCTATTTTTTTATTATAATAATCGTATAATTTCATATTAGGGCGAATTCTAATCATCATTTCTAATTCTTAATGAGCCGGGAATTTAAATTTTTTCACTCTAAAATACTTTCTGTGGAGAAATCTGGAAAGATTCAACGATTGTGATTCATATGACTTCTTTAATTGGTTAAAAAATAATTTGCTGCCTCGAAGAATATTGAAAAAGATAATGTAGGTTTTAAATTTCATAATTTTTCAAAAAAAATTTATTCTTTTCCCTATTCAATATTTACCTAAAAACTAAATCGAAAAGCATTTAAATATTAGAGCTTTGTGTTTTAATGCACAAATTTGATGACGTTTCGTTGCAGCATTCCTTTTAGAAATATTGAAGGAAATGCAGTTTCATTGTACACGAATTCATATAAGATCATATGGTATTTCTCCCGTCTTCTTAGCATGCCTTCATGTGTAGTGAGTGATCAGCAGGTTTAACGAATAAAAGCATGAATTAGAGGAATAAATATTTTCCCTTAAAATAATAAATAAATAACAAACGATGTATTATAATGGCTTTTACAGTAAGTATAAATGTATATAGCACAAAAAAGTCCGTAAATCATTTTTTTCACTCAGCGTTAATAAGAAAAAACAAAAAGTGGTTAAATAGAATAATTTTTTTTTTAACAAAAATTAAAAGATTTTACGATTGTAAGATTTATTTGTTGTTGTTGTCTTGTCAATGGAAAAGGTACTAAATTGAGCCAAAATCTGCAGGACGAGCCTTGCCGGATCTGGAGCCTGAGGGCTATAAAGGTAAACTAGGTGGTGGTGAGTCAAGTTGGCAAAGAGCAGCAATGCTATCCCGGCAGCTGGAAATATGCTCTGGTGTTAATTGGGTTTCAGAAGATTTATTTAAGGTCTAATTATTTATTTATTTAATATTCATATAACACTCTATTTAAAACATTAGCAGAAAATGCAGATTAAAACTTCACAGACATTACTCGCTTAATTACTTTCTTTTAGCGCCAGGTGATTATCTTCATTCTTTAATGTGTTTCTGTAATACTCTAGCTACCATAAATAAACGTACATACTTAAGCAGTTTGCCGCCCAATCGGTAGAATGGTCAGAGTGTCTTACTGCCATGCCGAATGGCCCGCGTTCGAATCCCGGAGAAGTCATGGATGTTTGTAAATGTATAGTGTCCGTGCGGCATGGGGACACTATAAATATGCGGGGAACCGAAAGTCCTCTCGAGAGGTTGGTGGTATGGGAAGAGGAGGGTGAGGGACCTTCAGACCCACCCCCTGGGGTTTTCTCCATTAAAATTAAGGGCGGAACTGGGTATCACCTGTAAGGTGCTCAAGTTTTTTGCCAACAACAGGCCGATTTTGCTCTCCTTTCCAGGAGGTAGTATTTCGTGGGCTTGGGCTAACTATAGGTCAGACACGTAAATATTAGTCAACAGTAATTTAAGAAATTTGCATTTTAAAATTATGTATTAATTTTTATGTATTCATTTAAATTTTAGGAAACGTATTGCAAAATGTATGATCTA